TTTGTCCACTTAATTTCTATATTTTTTTTTTTAAATAAATCACCCTGTCACATAAGCTACAATATACGAGCCCGTAACTCAGCTTTTACAACTCAACTTATTAAAGAAACAAAAATAAACGAGTTCAAGTTGCTTGCCGAGTCGAACTCGGTCCTCAACTAGTGAGCAACATATTTTTTTTTTTATTTTCTTCATCTATACAGTAAGTTCTTGCTTATTATATAGTTCTACTTATATAATATTTGTTGATACTCTATTCAATTAAAGCAGAGGCTTCTGAGTAGACAGTCTCCAGGTTGAATTGTCGCAAGGAGAACATCCTTCTTGGGCAATATCTGTAATTTGGAGGCCCAAATCATAAGTCACGCCATTTGTCCAGTTGACAGGGAGGGCCTTTTTGGCCCAATACCATTTCCCATCATACCCAGCTGTCACCACAAACCGGATCTGCAAAGCCCCTGCTGGGACCCGACTGGTGTTCCAAACCGCCCCGTAAAGTCTCGTCAAGTAGGTCCAATTAGATGATCCAACCTACAATTTAAAAAACATAATAAAAAAAATATAAAATAAACAAATATAATAGTAATCCGGCTCGATTTCGGATTAGTCGGTTCTCCTGTGGATCCAAAAACCGGAAGGTTCGCTTTACTAAAAATAATAATAATAATAATAATAATAATAATAAGATTGAAAGATAAAAAATGAAAATGTACCGAGGCCACGTCAGCAGTAACGATCTCCGTTTGGCCACCTTGATATAAGAATTTAATGGCCAAATAATATGGTTTTTGACTTGATTCCTCCACACGAATGGCCAAGTTCTTTTTCTTCATGTACTCGCATGGTATTCTGAAAAACAATTTTATTATAAAGTGTTAAAAAAATTATATTATTATAAAGTATTAATTTCATTTTGAACAGAATAAAACCATTTATAAATAATACACCAATAGTACATATGAAAGTTTAATAAAACTCTACAGATTTAGAGCCAAAAAAACAACAACAACAAATTTCCAAGTGCAATTATTTTAACGTCCGGTCTTTTTTGTGATATAATTTTATTTTATGGGGCCATTGTTAGAGATAAAATTATTTGGACAACATATTTTAAATGTGTATAATTGTCATCATAATATAATTCAGTTAAAGTGATCAACTGAATTTATGGTTTTAAATAAATAGAGTATTTATTTGTTATGAATTTTAAAAGTGTAGACACTATTATGGGATTTTCTGTTTGTAAAGGACCAAACTGAAAATTAATAATTCTTATTTATTTTGGTTATGGCCCCAAACAACGAAAATATACGAGCAAATTTCTGAAGGGGTGATTTCTCCCTTTAAAAGCACTCACCAGCTTCTCACTGCAGGATATGAAAAATACATAAAGATATATACTGATATAAACAATACGAATAAAATCTGCTATATATAAGGTTTCGATCGTTTGGAATATCATAACAGTCCTACAAGATAATTTCGAAGTCATCATCAGTCAAAAAAACAGAAGAACATAAGATTTTTTAATTCATGAAGTCTGGCACACTTCCGTTTTTATTCGGCTTTAATTTTTTTTTTTTTTTTAGTACAACTTCGGCTTTAATTTTTAATTATTCAATATAAATGCTCATGGGATGAATTAAAGCGATGTATACATTCGGCATAAGGTTAAATTCTAGCACCATCAATATCAGGGGCAACGTTTATAATACTTATATCAATTAAGTAAATATGTGCATGGGGTAATTAACGAGCTAATATAACTAATAACATACCTCTTGTATTCAACATCAGCAATACCAAGTTTCAAAAGGTCATTGCCATAACCCTTGTTGGCCATAGCCAAGAAAGCTCTTTTGCTCAACACAAAATTTGTTCTGTTATCCGTATTTCGATCCGTCACTATTATCGGAGTCCCTTCTTCTTTGCAGATCTTTTCATGCTTGCATCTCATCTGCAAATTATACTTATCATTTATTTGTTATATATAGAAAGTTGGCTCCACTATGGAGCCAACTGTTGGCTTCATAGCAAAACCGATCAGGTAGTACTCCACCGAGTTTTTATCGGTCCTTCATTGATTTTTTGTCTAATTTGTTGTAAAACGATCATTTTTCCACATTTCATTCATCAAATTCACTAGTAATTAAGAATTAATGAGTAAGAAGGAATTAAATATGTTTTTCAAAATGTGGCTAAACCTAAATAGATAGTCATAGAATAAATGACAAGTCAACCTGTCTAATTGACTCACACAAGAATTGGTGATGCTATATAATAAACTGTGATTTTGTCCAATTCTCACTAATTAAGAACAATCATATCCATTTCCAAATTAATTTTATCATCAACATAAAAAAAAAAAAAA